AGTTTTAATTCCCAAAAAATTGTAAAAAAACCGGTGAAGACCGGCCGGTCTGAAAAGTTGGACAGGACCGGACCGGTAACCGGCAGACCGGCCGGTCCGGTTCCAAGTCTGGGTGGGGTGTGGGCGTGGGTGTGTGGGTGTGGGCGGGTGTGGGTGTGGGTGTCGGTGTTCTCTTCATCCACACCCACACCACACCCACACCACACCCACACCACACCCACACCACACCCACGCCAACGCCCACCCAAACCCACACTCACACCCACCCACACCCACCACCCGCACCCACACCCCACACCCGCACCCACACCCCACACCCACACCCTAATTAAATGACTATGATGTAATAATCGAAGTTTTAGTTTTTGTACGTTACATACTTCGATAAATGCATTCAGAAGACTCGAAGATAAACTTTTCATTTTGGAATAGCTTATCTTCAAACTTTTTTTCCACGAAAACAAACAAGATACAATATACCATTCCATAATAGTGAATCATTCTTTCTTAGATCATTCTTCTACATAGAAACATGCTGGATAAAGTAGAGTGATGCAATGGAATCAAAAATTTGAAAAGTTTATTATGTGAGAATATACTAAGCAAAGAAAAAGGAAACGTATAGCGGTACATTACGCAAAACGATCGATAAAATGATTTTCAAGCTGCGAAAATAATAAAGCAACAACTTGGAAATTTCATTTTTGAAGTGTTTCCAATATAGAAAATTGATCTGGACACTTCTACACAGTCTTCTTGTTTATCAATCTATGTTACTTTAAATTTTTAAATAAAGGCTCATGAAAAATTATAGTTTTTCTAAGGCATTTTCTAAAGAAATAACCGAGAAATCATTAAGATCTTACAGAATTTAAGTGCATTATTATGTTAGGAGCTATCTAGCTGCTAATTAAAAATATTTTCTTGCGCTTTTTTTTGCTTCCGTTACATCTATATTCATCAATAGTCAATCCATTACTAATTAATAATAAAACATATCTTTTTCATGAATAAACAATCAAGATTTTTCGTCTTCTATAACTTTTCCTACGAATGAGATACAATTTCCGTAACATTTTCTAACCAATTACAGCAATTAGCAAAACATGTCCTTCGTGAAGATTATTTTTTTCTATGAGAGTACAAATGTCGATGTAGTAAATACATTGCAGAAGTACCAATTACAAAGAAACAAGATCTGAACGTTGTTTGATTTTGTTGAAACACAACGATCAGCTGATACTATTGGTGCATTACTTTTACAAAAAAATCTCGTAAGTGTAATAATCCATGAGAATCAAACAAAAATGTCCAATACTTGTTACAACATTCGTTGTTGCTCATGGTTTAGATTTTCCTCTTATTGATTTTGTGGTTAATTATGATTTTATCGGATACAAGTGATTTTTATATTCGTCGTATTAGTCGAACAAGTAGAATGAATTATAAGAAAAACAAGAAAAAGGAGAAATAGTTTTGAAAATTCCTTTTTTTTGCATAGGTCATGCTGGTTAATTGGAGAAATCCATATGATTTTTTGATTCCGATCGATAGTCTGACAGAAAAATTGCTCTTAAACTTACACTAAAATTATGCCAAGTATATTTTGTTCTCTAAATTGAACATGAATTTCCAATTGATTTCTTTCAATAGGATGGCCAAGCAACATCAGAATTTCTTAAAAAATATGGTGATGTGGGTACTATTGGATTTTATCATGATGACCATAGGTCGATGAATAGTAATGTAATACTGTTAGTGTGAGTGTGGGATAAGGCATACACCTACCTTCTGTTGAGTAATTAAACTAAGAAGTATTTTTAATAGATTTTAGGTTGACATTGTTGCTGAAAATTTTGAGCGCGAGGAAAGATTTCTAACGCTCTTGTGTCATGTTCAATATGTCCTTCATATTTAGCCAATAGACATTAAAGCAAGACTAAAATTTTGGATATATAAGTAGATTTTATATACTCTTTTATATCATATTATTGAAAAGATGTAAAGCAAAATTTTTCAGAGGAAATAATTTCTCGATCGAGTAATAGATTGTCTCTTAAAATAACGTTGAGAAATTTATGAAGTTCTTATGAACCATCCACAATAATCAATCGTTACCGTTCTTCATTAAAAGTATAACTCATAAACATAGTTATTGCTTTTTTTGTCTTTACTATCCAGAGAAGTAATCCTTTGTGGTTGTTACTCAACAGTTTCTTCAATAACAACTTAGAAAAAAATTCTTTTGTTTGTTTTTAAAATGTGATTACTGTGCTTCAAATAAAATGATTCAGAATGGATAAAAGAGAGAAGAAAAATAAATTTGCACTTATACATGAGAGTCACAACAAAAAAAACATATGTATAAATTACCGGCTAGAAGTAAGAATATTTAGAGAAAATAATTGTAGAAAAAATGCGTTCAATAGAACATTTGTTTTCCACAAATAGTAACCTTGTTTGAAGTAGACATTATCAAATTCTATTCAATCATTAAGATAAAGTCTATCTTACTTTATATGTCAATCTGGCAAAACATCATTTCTATTGAATATGAAAATAATATTTTTCTTCGCTCAATCCATGTACCACACTCACAAGTTAGTGTTCAAAAATTATAAATACAGAAAAGAAATTTTATTTGATTAAAAACAAACTATTCTTTTTACAAAATTTGACAAGTATGAAACTAATGCATCATCATGAGCAGCTAGAGTCATTGAATCATCATGAAAAGGTGTCGAAAGAGAGATTAGAATTTTTTTTTCATTGAAATCAGATCTATTCGAACGATATTTTCATACTAAGATGTTCGTGAACCAAAAGTTGCATAAATTGGATTTTGTGAACCGTGAAGTAGCGCTATAAAAAAAAATTAAAAATTGATTAATTAATTTATTAGCAATATAGATTATAAAAAAAAACACAAACGTTGCTGGTATATTTCTATTCTGATTAGCCATACTTGTTTGACATTGAGATAAAGCTCGATTTTGCATGTTGATACTGTTATATTTATTATAAAATATTTTTCTCTTAGTCAACAATGGAATCATTTGCCTCATTTGTAAATTTTCGATTCGATACTTGTTTTAGTGTAAATATGACTCTCAATTATTGATTTTACAAAATGTTAAAATTTATTAATATAAATTAATTTGAGTTCATTTTCTAATTGATTATTTAAATAAAAATAATTCATATTAATTTATTGATCAATTAGATGAATGTAGTCTTTTTTTATTTTTTTAGTCAAATTTTATATTAATTATTCAAATATTTTTATTTATTTTAATATAAATTTCAATGATTAATATTCTTTACTAGAAAAATTTTCAATAATAAATGAACAAATTGTTTTCTCATCAAATATCAATTAAGAGTTTTATCTTGACAAATATCATAATTGTCAATCACATGGATTATTATCTAAGTGAATAATTGTTTTTATAAAAAAATCTTTTTATTGAATTAAGGTTGAACCTAAAACAACTCTTAGTCAATTTTCTTTTTATCAAAGTAAAAACTTTTATAATTAACAGATCTATTTTAGTGAACTTTCATGTGGATAATCTCTGGAAAGCTTTTATTTATTTAAAAAAAACAAACATGACGAAGAGAGTTTTAGATTTGACTTTGAGGAAGTCTGGTAAAGAACATTCTTTCATTATTGACATTTATTTGTTCTTTTCTGAAGCACAGGGTAATAAGTGTTTGCATGAAAAACGGAAAAGTGATAAACTGGAAAAAATAAAAACAAGATATACTAGAACTTGACTTTGCCATGTAGCATTAAGAAAATTTTGTGCTTCCTTATCAATGATTTGATTTGAAGGAAAGTTTCGTTTGATAAATGTCTAGATAAAAGATGTAAAAAAGATCAGGTGAGGAAAACAAAATAAATGATTGTTCAAATTTATTCTAGGCTATTTGGTAAGAATAAGGCTACTTCATTACTGAATTCAGTTTAGAAATGATCTTTTTTTAGTGACAGTTTCTTCTTATTCATACTGATAAATAAATATGTTAGTCAAATTAAGGAAAAATAAACTGATTTCCAATGATTTCTAGCAATATAAATCAATTTGCTAACAGATAAGAACTGTTCACACATAATGATATTGACTTCTTTCTAGATAAACATTTTTCTATTGCTTTTTTTGAAATATTTGATCTTTCAATAAGATAATAAATTTGTTTTACTAAAGTAATAATCAATATATTATTGCAAAAGTAAAATAATCTTGCAAAAATTTTCAATAATTTTTTTCTTCGAATAAATAAATTTCATTTATTTTAACATAATTAATTCGTGTATCATCTCTGATAAACTTGTGTGCCACTCTTTCTATTGACTAATCATTGATATAAAGAAGAATATTAGTATGAAAATATGTTTTTGTATTAAATAATAATTCTTCTTTATAATTACAAATGGGTATTTTTAGATTTCATACAGCAGCCAATATCAATACCAGCAATTTTAATTACAATAAAATGTTTTTTCATTCCAAAAAATAAAATTTGACGGAAATAAGCCTAAGCCTTTTTCCTTGGATAATAATAAGCATTTAACAATATCGTCATAAATAGTTTGTTTTATAACACTTTTTTTTTGAAATTTTTCACTTAACGAATTAATATATTTTTCTAATTCTTGATAAAAGACCAATTCTTCATTATCTATCTGCACTATCCTTGAATCCGATTGAGACATTTTTTTGTTAGATTATAATATGTACAGCTATATTTATACTGCTTATTGACGCGACCGTTACTATTACAGATCTTTCTCTTTTTTTTCAGTCTATTTTATTTTTGATAAAGAAAGTGATTGTATGAATTTATTTCGAGCTGTATTTTAATTTTGCCTACAACATATATTCGTAAGAATAGATAGACAATCCCTACATTATTTATTATCTATTCTAGAAAAGAGTAAATACACAGAAAAAAAAATAAGCAGTAAAAAACTTTTGATGGAAGCTCTGTTTGACTTATCAACTTGTTTGTAAATATCCACGCAGAAGAGGTTTTAATTTGTCTTTTAAATCTGTTGATGATGATGTATAAGCATCAATTAATAATGGAATATGACATGTCAATACTCGACCATACCATGTACCCGATGGATAAATAATTACATTACCAGCAAATCTATGTCCACCTAAATATAAACAAAAAGGTTTCAATTCTAGCATTTATTTTAAATTAGAAACCTTTTTTTTGTCAAAGAAGACTAATAAGCAATACTTTATTTATCAATAAGAATTCTCTTTGATGAGCTTACCGACATGACTTATTTTTAAGCAATGAACATCATCGGTACGATTCGTTTTACGAACAAACTTTTCTATTTCATCAACTAAAATTGGTCCAATTACTCCTAAAAATAGAAAAATAAATAGGTATTTTAATAGTTTAATTAATATAAATAAATGGAAAAGAATATTATTTGACAAGAGACTGTGATGAAATTATATAAACAAGAAATAGGGTAGGATTTTGTAATAGAATTTCACATAGTTAATGTTTTTCTTTGTCATGTAAAACAATAATTTCCGTACAACATACTTCTTTAATTATGTATTTTTATTTCAACTACAATTTTTAAATTGGAATTTCCTATTAATGATTCCAAAGTTCCAATGGAACTGTTATGGATACTTATTTCTAAGGTCAAACCAAATTGACATAGATCATCTTTTACTTTTCTAACCCGAAAATAATCAAATGAATTCATTGATTAATTATGTCTCTATTTTAACCCCTACAGTCATGATTAAGAGACTTGTTTCTCTCCGATAGTACTTCTTCATTCTTTACTTAACATAGATTTTCTCGTGCTTGACACCTAACAGTGTACAAAAAACTTCATAGAATTACAAAATTCTAAATAAATTTTGTACAATGATACAATATTCATTAGACACAGCGGTTATTGATTAACTGTATTCTTATCAGTATATTATTTTATTTTGTCTTAGCGAAATATATGTATGCTATAAACAGTAGACGATACAAAACAATTCTATAATAAAAGACAGTATACTAAATAATTATTCGATAATATAACTGAAAATCAAAGTAATCGATGAAATGTACAATGATGAGTTTTCACTGACTAGAATAGTCTGATGCATATTATCTCACTATCAATAAAAACAAAAGTGTTTTATTTATGGAGAAAAAATTCAAACCGATCAGTAAAGAAAATTTTATTGCCTAGGCCAACTGATTACAGTATCGGTTACAACTCCAACATGATAAATTCTCTAAATAGTCAATCGCTTTTGAGTCAAGATTGTGTGCATTATTTAAATTCAAATTATTTATAAAATAACCTGAAAACAGCTCTTGTTCTTACCTTATTGCTACAGAGATACTGTTCTTCTATGCTATTGTTTAAAATGAATGCCAAGATAATAGAAAAACTGATTATCGAATTTCGACTTGAAAATTTGCATAGAGACAAGTTTTAATGAAAAAGAGTTTCTTATGAATATTTCAAGTTTTGTCATTGTTTCTATCTTAAGATACAATTATGATAATAGTGTATCTTCTACATCACATATACAAACTAGCAGATTTGTTTATTCTTATTTCAAGAATGATAAGAACTCTTTTCAGGGTATATATAGTTCATTTGGATTTACATAATGAACATAACCTTGGCTCAAAAGCGATTGAACAGTTAGAAGACTCTCTTCGTAAGTTTTGAAAGAAAAAATAAATTTGTTTAATATACCACATCGTTGATCACGTTGATAATGACAACAAACAAGTATCCACAGACCATGTAATTTTTCACATTTAACATTCTCATAAAATACAGGTAAATGATTATTTTGTTTAAGTTGTTCTTCAATGGTTTTTGTTTTGTCTTTTATTTTAATAATTGATTGATCATTAACAAATAATTTTTGAACAATATCTTTTATTTGTTTAATATGAACATTATGTAATTTAATTTGATCGGGAAATAAATACCAATCAGCTATTTCTTCTGAATTATTTTGTGAAACTATCGATGTTGCCGTTAATTTAATTGAATATTCAATAGAATTTTGATTTTCTTGTAAAATTTTTGTTAATTTTTTTATATAATTTCCTTGTAAATCTTTAACATCTTTTGGCCATTGAGAAGGTAAAATAGATTGTCCAATACATAAATGACGACGATATTTTTCAACAGAATTTCTCATATCACTTTGATCAATTTCTTTAAATATTGCAGATGGATAAGAAACATGGTTTTTACAAGGTATTTCACAACCTGTACAAGCATCGAAACGAATAGATTCTAAATAATAAAAATAAGTCTTCTATGAATAGAATATTTGTTTTTGTTAAATATACCAGTTGTTAAATTTCTTATTAAATGTACAACATTCTTTTTATTTGTAAAATTTATGAATATTAATCTCGAGTAGAAAAACATTAATCTAAAAAATTAATTAAAGAATTTATTTTTAATATCTCTTCATGCTTTTAAATACCGAATGAATGAATAGTTTGTTGTACATGATTAACTAATGGTTTTTATTCTGTAAGTTGTTCTAAAATTTTTGATAGACGCAATAATCAGATTCACCAAAGCAAGAATAAAACAAATTAAATCCTACTTGCAAGAAAGACTTGATCAGCCTTCATGTGAAAGAACTAGAAGATCAATGTAGAGTTTTTATTCAGATGAAGATATTTTAATATTGGAAAAAAAAGCTCATGGTTTTTATTCTCTTACTTGAGAGTTCAGCGCTACGTCTATTGCGAATAAAAAATTCGTGTCAAACAACTTTACGCCGCTAGACTGATAAATAAATGTTGAAATAGTTTCGACAAAAGAGTTCACGAGGTTCGTCGAAGAAAAGTCATAACTTCAGCTAGTTTCATCTATTCGCTTTGAAATTTTCTTCAGTAAGAGCTCTGCACTATTCAGCTTTTCCATGAAAATTTCATAATTATTCACCATCGAAAAGAGACGATTCGTGCGGAAAGTGTTCGAAACAACAGAAACTTTCTCGTGACTCAGAATTACAGTGAATGATGATATCCTATCTATGACATAACATAGATATATGAAAGTTTATTTTTCAATAAGAAGATGAATGAGGACACGTCAAAATTGTAGAAAATCGTGGAAGTGCCAAGGGTACTTCTTTTTGGGCCTCAACCAAAAATAAACAAGTGCTATCATCCTAAATCCGTTGAATTAAGATCGATCTACCTCGAGTTGGCGTTTGCGATTAGAATTCGGCGAGCTTTACTTGTAACCAACGTATCAGGCAAAGAAATTGAAGTTGATGAGCATGTTACGCATGTACTAGCAAGATAATTATAATATGATTTTTCTTATGAATCAATTTGAGAAAACTCTTGATTGTATAAAACAAGTTAATAATCGTTTTCATTTCTTTTTTTTATGATTTTTTTCTCTTTTAATAGTGAAGATTATCATTCTGATGTCTCATTAGTCTTTATCAATATTTTAGAACGTATCTTAAAAAAATATCCATTATGATAAGGGTATGAATCGATATGTGTAAGTAGTTTCATAACAAAATTGTAAATTTAAATGAGAAAAGGCAAATTCTTACTTTCGTTCAATTGTGTTTATTTTTTACTAATATTATTTAACGAACAAATCTGTTATTATTTCCTATCAGATTGATAATATAATGTACTTGTCTTAACTCCATCATGAATAGCTGAAACAGTAATACATATTAGTTTTTTTTCCGACTTGTTCTTGATGAAAAAACATATTATGAACTTATATTACGAAGCAACGCAAAATCTTGTTCTTCAATTAAAGATAACATAAATCGAAAAGTTCACTTCTTGTATGAACATCAATCTGAAGAATATATGATCAATAATGCTTTTTTTTTCTGTCTCCTTCTATTGTCATTTGCATAAAAATAACCGTATGAAATCATAAAAGAAAAAGAACAAAAAAGAAGAAGAACAACAACAACAACAGATATACTACATCCACATTTAATAACGCAACCATACTTTTGTTTTTTTTTTTTCAATGAATGAATGTAGAATAGACATGAATACACACAGATATATTTGTTTTTTGTTTTTCGAATATGCATATACATAGAGGAGACTATCCACACACGCACACACACAAAGGTTCGAACAATGAAAAAAGAAAAAGAAAAAGAAAAAGAAAAGAAATTTACAATTAAGTTCTATTTTTATGCATTAATAAAGTCAAGATGATGTTTTTGTCGATCGTTGATTTATAAGTTTTTCTACTTCTTGTAATTTTTTTAAAATTTTTTGTTTTTCTTTTTTTTTACCTAAACAAAAAAAAAAGAATAAAATTTAACAAAAGAAAATTTTTTTCTTAAAACAAAAAATACGAACAAGAATCCGAATTTTCTGCATTACTTGCATCAGTTGATGCTTTATGAGAATCCACTAAAATGAACAAAAAAAAAAATTAATTAATTGTTATATATTACTAATCCTATATTTATACTATTTAATTTTGTCTTTTTTGTTGCACTAGTTGAACCTGTCGATGATGATGTATCACGTCGTTTCTTTAGAATAAAACAAAATATTTTTTCTTTAAAATAGAAAACTAAAAAAATTTTTTTTTTAAATTTACTTTAGCATATGTTAATGATGATTCTTTAGTTTTTGATGATCCACGATTAATAGAATCAGTTTTGGATTTTGTATTTGAATTTTTATTATTACCACCACCACCACCTGATGATGAAGATAATTGTCGATTAATTATTTTTGTTGAATGATTACTACTATTAGTACCAACTGTTGTTTTACCTCCACCAGAAGCTAAGCAAAAAAAAAAAGAGAATATTGAAAGTTGATATATTCTATTAGATACATCATCTTAAATTTCATGCAAGTTAATCAAGCTTTTAACTTCTTATTGAATTATCGTTAATGTGTTTATAAGTTCTTTATGAACAGAATAAAGCTTCATGTAAAATGATATGTCTGTTAGATATAACCGTTAAAGAGTGTCTAGTAATGACCTATCCTATAGTTATGAATGTTCCAATATTCTCTTTTAATTCTAGTACGTGTATAACGACATATTTATATGTAAGAAATATTTTCACATTGATAGATCAAGTTTAAGCAATCAAATTTTCTTTAATCTATTCAATTAAAGTTATAAGTAGTCGCCATAAAGCAACATATTAGTTGATATAATCTATGGCATGAAAGTCTTGACACAAGAAATTAGTTATATTTTCTAAATATGTGTTTAAAATTTTTGTTCTAATATAAAATTGAATAGCTATCATTAGATTGTATTAAAAGGTTCAAAATGCGAAACAATCTTTAATGACACTCTTTCCAATTATCGAATTGCTTTTCGACTAACACAATGTTCATTAGATGAGTACTAAAGAGTAATAGAAAAGTCAATAGTAATTTAGTTTTTCGTTTTCAAGATGTCGAAATTTTACTGGAATTTTTGAACAAAGTTTTTAACGAAATAAGTTGATTATACAACTAGTATTTCCTTTCTTCAAATATAAATATATGAACAAAAATTTGCTATTACACATAAGAGAATTTGAAATATTAAATATCTCAGAATAGAAGATACTTGAAAAGTGACCATTTACTCAATGACTTAATCTCATTAAGAACTTTGTTCATAAAAAGTTTGTAATCGATTTTCTAGGTGATTTGAAGGAGACTACAGCTCTATGTTGAAAAATTTAGTAAAAATCTGATATCTCAAGAACAAAGGTTGAGAAAATCAAACCATTGAAGACTGTTCTATAATTCATCAAATAAACATAGTCTCAAGTCGAAAAACGATTTGCTAGCTAGAATGGTTCCCGTGTTATTTATCTTACGTCACAGATTTTAAAAATTTTGTAGACAAAAAAAAAATGAGCAAATATCGTGTACCAAGACTTCATGTCATAGAATATATTCGAAACGTTGAAGATTGATCGAAATAAAATTTTACCTATTTTTGTTTTTGTTGATGTTCGTATATCATTCTCTGAACTTGAACTATCCGATGATGAACTAGATGATCGATGTGTTATTCGATTAGTATCACTATCTGATGATGATGATGAACTTGTACTATCCGATCGACTAAATAATTAAAAAAAAAAACCATTTGAAAAAAAAAAAAAAAACAAGGATTTTCTTCTACTTAGGATTTTCTTTTTTTATTTGTTTTTTAATATTTATATCCAAATCTTTTCCATGTTGATCTTTTGAATGATTATTAACCATTGAAGTACTACTATTACTACTTTTTTCGGCTTTTTTTAATGTATGACTTGATATTTGTCGACCAGGAAGAAATTTATTTGTTGTTGTTGTTGGTGGTGGTGGTAGTGGTGGTGATGATGATGATACTAATTTTTTATTACTATTTGATTTTTTTTCATTACCATTTTTAACCATTCTATTTGATGCAAAAAAAAAATTGGTAAAATAATTTAAGATTTAGTTAATGTCTTTTCTTTCTCTTCTTAGAAAAAAAATAAAAACAAAGCAAATAAAATAAAGTACTCGGATGATTTTGTTGTTGGTGTTGGTTTTGTTGCACGTGTTACTGATGGTGAACGACGTTTTGGTCTACTTCTCGATCTCGATCTAAACCGTAACTCAAATGTAAAAATAAATTATATGCAAAAAAAAAGAAGTATATATATATATAATCATGCAACAACTAAACAAGCATTTTATAAGTTAGCTATTAAACTTGCCTTGATCGACTTGATGATGAAGTTGAATGAGAACGTGAATGAGTTGATCGAGATGAACTAAATAAAAATTTTTCATAAAATTTGAGAATTAATAAAATTTCAAACAGAAAATAAACGAAACTAATATTATTACCTAGATGATGTAGCCGATGATGATGAATAGGATGGTTCTCGACCACCACCTGATGAACGACGATTACCACCACCGTGAGTTCTTGATCTAAGAAAGATATAGATAATATCAATTTGATTGTTTTATACACAAGAAAATTCGAATGATTTCTTCTTATTGATGTGATTCTAAAATGTTTCTTATTAAAGAAATAACATGAACTCATTTTAACAATTACAAGACGAATCACTACATTTCGTAAAGTGTTCTTTATCAGATATAAAGAAACATTAAATAAAAATTTTGCATCAAGACTAATGAGAGAAAGTTTTCAAGTGATAAATTATTTTTAAGCTGAAATTATATTCAACCGATAGGATCGAGTAAGTAAATATCTTAGAATGATTCGATCAGTTAGACCTTTTGTTATTGAGATATTGAATTTTTTTCTGTAGATCTTTAATTTTTTATACATTTGAATTTCGATCTAAAAATTTGCTCACATAAAAACATAACTTGTAGAAAAAAATTTCAGATTCTTTTTTTACTAAGACTTTCCGAAATATGAATGTTTAAAAATATAGATGCTTACCAAGAATTATTCTAAAAAAATTAATATTTTCAAAGATTCATATCTTAGAGACATTTGTCGAAAAAATTCTGAAGTTTTTTCTATCGACCAGTCAAATCGTTGCCTTTATTTTAGCAAAATTTCAGGTTAAAATTCGATATCTCAGTGAGAAAAATTCAGCTGATCGGATTACTCTAGAGTATTTACTAGGGAATATTCGATACAAAATTTTTTATTTTAATGTTTATTCTCAGTCGAAAAAATCATCAGTGCAGAACGTTAGTTTCATATGATAACTGAAAAAGAAATAATATCCGAACAAGAATCAAATTGTATCAGCTTAATAAATTCATAATGGTAATAGCTAGTCACTTGCGATTTTCAGCAATCGAAAGAAAAGAACTCCGGGAATCGTTTTGTCTGATACTATATAAGACAAAATTACTTTCAAATTCACAGCGTGACATTCCCTACGTTTGAAAATTGTTCGCACAGCTCCTTTTTTTCCGGTCTCACCTATTATATCCTTGCTACTTACAATGCTGAATACTGTCTCTGTTTTCAGAAAATGTTCAAAAACAATCTTATGAACTTTCTTTTTCTTTGCTGTATTCAATTAGATACTTTCAAAAAAAATGTTTCTTAAAATACCTATCCCATGGATCTTGCCAATCATCTCCTCGTCGACTGCTATATGGATTAAAATGTGCTTGTGCATCATTATTATGATGTGAACCGGATATATACTGTTGTTGTGATGAATTTCGTCTATAAGATGATGATGAATCATCTTTTTTTGATGTTAATTTGCTAAGAAAAAATTGAAAATAATATTCTTAACTTTAATATTTAATAAACTTTCTTACTTATGTTTTGTTGATAAATTTTCTTTTCGATTTCGATTATCATTTCGTGTATCGGCATGATCATCTGAATGACGTAAACGACGATCAGAATGATCATTTGTGGATAATATATTTGTATTATTTCGAATATTATTATTATTAGTATTATTATTATTATTATTTCGATGATGATGATTATTGTTATTATTATAATGAGAATTACCAGATGAACCTGTATACATATATGAATGATATCGATCAGGATAATTTGAACCAGATAAATTATTCAGATCATAATCCATTGGAGATGGTCTAAAATAAGAATTTTTTTTTGTTAAGAGAAAATTTATTTGAAAAAAAAAATTTACCGATCAATATTTAAAATATTATCATCTCCATCTTTATCATCAAGTGCATCACGTATAGTTAAATTAAATTTCTTATCATTAAAATCTTTATCTTGTTGTTTACGTCGCATAGATTGTTCACGAAGCTAAATATAAAACAAAAAAAAAACAAGAATTAATTAAAATATTAGAACAAATATTCAAATACGAACTGTTTTAGCTGAACGTAATCCACGTTCCCATGCTGATTCTGTACCAGTTGGTGGTACTACTAATGGTATAACAGATGGTTGAGTTGGACCACGAAGAACTGGATTAGGAAAAAATTGAGATGTCTAAAAATAAATCATATAAGAACTTTTTTTGCACATACACATATCTATATGAAGTTTGGGAATGAAATTTTCAAAAAAAGAACTTAGTCTCGTAGTTCTATTCAATAGATATGATTACGACTAGTTTTTTGTCTCCAGCCTCAAATATATCTACAATTCATTTAAGAATTGATATATTAATTTAGCAAATGATGATTGATCTCACGAGGTAATAACTCTAATCAATGTCAACACCTGAGAATTTCGAACTCTGAAATTTTCTTTTAATTATCTTCTCCTTCTGTCAACAAAACTCATATGACTTTTTTTTTTTGATAGTGGCATTATGTGTCATATTTTCAACAATAACAAAAAAAAAACGAAGGCATGTTTACAGCAGATGTTGCTTGTGGTGAGATCCATGTATTAGTTGTAGTTGTTGTTTGTGGTATAGGAATACCAGTTAGTGTTGGTGATGTAATTTCATTATTTGTTGATGATAAAACATCAATAGATGGTCCACTTGAATCTAAATATCAAAAAACAAAAAAACAAATTAAAAAATCTATTATGAAAATATCATATACTTTTTGTTGCATCATTATTTGGATGAATAAATTTACAATTAGGTCCCCAATGACAACGACCTTGAAGAAAAAATCGACAATGAACTTTAGCTTGTGGTGATGATAATATATTGGTATTTATTCGATTACGATTTTGTTCTGATGTTTGATCATCAGAAAATGATGTTCGATTTTTTGATGTACTTGGATCATGAATTTCACCATCTTCTAAATCAGCTTCATCCTTTTAAAGAAAAATATTAATAAAATTTATTAATTATAACTATTAATAATAATACTTACTACTTCTCCTTCATCACTTGCTGTTGTTGGATTATCTATCATTGTTAATGATGTATTATTATTATTAATTATTTCTTGTGGTTTATGTAATATTTTATCTTCTTCATCCTGTAAAATTAAGAATAAAAAAAATATTGAACAAAAAAAAAAAAAAAAACAAAATTTTTCAATAGTTTTTACTTGAATATTAATTGATGTTTTTATTTCTTCATTGATTTTTTTCACCGGTTTATTTATTTGTTCTAATTCATGACTATCATCTAATTTACCTGGTGAATGATTATCATCAATATCTTCATAATCTAAATTTTCCGGATCATTTATATCTGTATTTGTAGGTGTTGTTTGTGAACGACTACGTTCTTTCATACGTTGTTTTGTTCCTTTAGATATTGATGGATTTTGTTCATCAGTTGTATTTTCAGTATCCATTGAAATTTAATCAATAGACAACCAACTAAATAAAAAAAAAAATAGTTTTTTTTTTGCAGGTTTTTTTCTTAACGTACCATCAATTCAAAGAAAAAATATTAATTGTATAACCAACTTTGTTGTCTCTGAAAGAGGTGGGAAAAAAAACATGATAAAATATAAGTTTAAAAATTTCATTGTTTCTTATATGATTTATGAAAAAAAAAACAAATGTAATAGGAAAGATTATAGGTAAGAGGACAAATTTTCCTTTTTTTTTTTTTTTGTTTTTTAATCGCAGAAGAATTCATATAGATATATAAGATGATGGGCAGTTTACTTTGCTATTGATGATGATAATGGTGTAAAGACGATTTTATTGACTGAAGTATAAATCGAAATAGTCGATTAGAATGATTAATAATGAAAATTGGATAGAAATTTAAGAAAAACAAGATATGTAAAAGATAAAATGTATGTTTACTAGAGAACAATGATATTTTGTCGACGTCTAGATTCATTTTAATGTATCCATATACGGGACAGTATATATACAAACAACGAGAAGAACTTTTTCTTTTTTAATTTGCAATGTATTAATTGATTGAGAAGCCATTTATAAAACACAATATACCCAAATCGATGTTATGATAATATGAAATTCTACTTATAGATGTCACTAGTTTATTATTTTCAGATTTATTTTTGTGATGAGTATATGTTATTTATTAATACAAAATTTATAATGTATGAATTCTATTTAATGAAAATAGTGTTTTTAAAATTATTTTGAATAAAAGAAAAAAAAGTATGTTTTAATGAATTTGAAAGCTGATTGTAATTTATCGTTGTGATTTACAAACCTTGTAACTATTGAAAACGATTGATTTCAATTTCCCGATAGAATTCTGTAGGAGTGCAACTTTTCTTACTTTGGTATAATGAACCTATATGGGATCTAATTAGATGTGTGTACTCAATGCTGATCCGATATTCAGGAAGTTTTTTTTTTTTTCAAACATGAAAGATTTTTTAAACTTTTATGTCAGTTTAAAAATATTCGATTCAATTTCATAAATAAATAACAAACAAACAAAAAGAAAGAAATTCTTCGTTCAAATGTGTCAATTATTCCCGAATATGTCAATCTGTGGAGATATGATCGAACTATATTTTTTTTATTTTAATATCTACAAACAGATACAATCTAGCAATTTGTGTTCGCAGCTAGGTGTACAGTTAGATCGGGTGTCAGACCTACTTGTAGAACTCTATTTCGCATAAAAAATGATAGCTTATATTCTGTATATGTGAGGATTTTTCGGTATTACTTCAATTGAAAAGCATTCGGTCCTCTTCAATTACGAATATATAGTTTAGACAATGAGAAATATCATTGTTAAAATGAAACTCAATGAGTTCATGAAAACATGAGACTTCGAATTTTGTATCTCTCCAAGAAATCTGTTATTTATTTTCACAATCTTCGTTCGGGTTTATAGTAAAATATGTCTTTCTCATACACATAGAAATACATGATCAATCCACAAAATCGAGTTTTTTCTAGCTTTACTCCTATGTCAGTTACAATAAAATGTAAAGTTTGGATCTGATATTTTTGATTTGCATGACATAGAATATAAAAACAACCGACGGAGTTTTATTCTCTTTTTCATATATCTATACATGTGAAACAACGGATTATGTAACTCATATGCAGTAGTGTTTGAGCCTGTTGTTTTGATCGTATTGAATTGAATAAACGTTTGACGAAACCAAGAATAGTCAGCTTAAAAGTTTTAAGTTTATTCGTAGAATCTCCGTTTCTCTACTAACTGATAATGGTATTAAAAACTTAAGTATGTTTGAATGCGATTGAAAGTTGACTCTCAATTTGTTTGAATTAAATGATAACACACAAATATATTCATGACATTAAAAATTTATAATCTAGATTTAGCTATCAAATCATCAAAAGAATCAATAATTCATCCTCATCGACGATAAACACAATATTCATGTTATGTGCTTGCTGTTACTTTTTAATCAATGAAGAATTACATGAAGATGAATGTGTGACTATTAAAATTATTACAAAAAATACATTGCTTTGACTATAATGCAGAGATGTCCATCGCGGCGCTGCCGCTGCCGCTGCCGCTACCGCGGTGGCGGTGGCGGCGCGGCAGCGGCAGGTTTTTTAAAAAATCATCGCGGCAGCGGCAGATTTTTTTAAAAGTCATCGCGGCAGCGGCAGATTTTTTTAAAAGTCATCGCGGCAGCGGCGCGATAGCGGCAGGTTTTTTAAAAAACCATCGCGGCAGCGGCAGGATTTTTCTTGGAGGACATCGAAAAACTGTATGAATTTAATAGAATTTCAGGATTTACAAATGAAACGCCCTGATATTGAATAAACCTGATGGACTAGTACCCATATCTCTGGTCAAATATAGGCACAGCAGTGAAATTAGAAATACTTTTTTGAAAACCGTCGCGGCAGCGGCGCGGTGGCGGCATGTTTATTTTATAATTCATCGCGGCAGCGGTGCGGCAGCTTTTTTTTCTAAGGCCGCGGCGCGGCAGCGGCAGATTTTCAGCTACGATGGACATCTCTGCTATAATGTCAATAGCAGAACTATCAGAGAATTTAACGATAAATTCTTGATTCTCCAAGGAATTATTATAGCTCCGTTGATAAATTAATGACAACTTGGGAATTTATATTTCTTAGTTTATAGATCTTGCTGTGAAATGTAAATGAATCTTTGACGGAGTCTTTAATGCTTGTGACGATAAGACAATCTGTGATTTAAAAATCATTTATTGACGATTAGGACAAAAACGATACATGTTTTATTTTGTTTTGACGACAACTATAACAATTTAGTACATAGTTCATCGATGAGAACTTTTTGATTTTGTAAAGAAAATTTTCTTAAATTAAATGTTAAAGAAGATACAGGCCAACAATATCGTTTTGAATAAAAAGTCTAACAACATTATTCATCTGTAATATAAAAATGTAAACCTATACAGTTTTTCTTTTTTTGAAACCAAAGAAGTTTGTGTATAAAAATACTCCCTCTCTTCCAGTTTTGTCGAACTTCTTGTTGATACACAAAAAAAGAAATCTGTATTATTTTTTCCTTTCATAAACATCATAAATACTGAATTTTTACACCAATTCATTGGTTTCATCGATCTATTCTTCAATACATGTTATCATAGTCTTATATATCGAACAAAATAAACGTGGAATGAATAAATGCAACATATTTGTGGAATATTTTTGTCCTGAACAAAATCAATATTGCTGTTTGTGAGAATAAAATATCCTATTCTGAGTAAAGATAGTTTTTCGCATCAGCGATATTATGGCATCTATACTTTTTTGATCTATCCTATCAATTAGAGCCATTAGTCTCTGGGAAGAGACCCATACAAATCAATTTTTCATATGCTTGGCATGCTTATTACGACTTGCATATGTTTTGACATACTGATAATACGATAATAATTGAATGTTAGGAAAAGATTGTTTTTATGACAAGACAAGGAAGTTATATATACAGAAACAAAATGACTATATGAAACATTTATTTATACAAATATGACTTAAGAAATAATAAAAATTACTCAACGACTCGTATAATATAATAATAACAATGAATTAGGAAGTACAAACAGTAACTAAGCGAAATAGATAAAGAAACTAAATAAATAAACACATTGATAATGAGCAGTGTAGTTACAATTTAATATTACTATTCATGATTGTATTCAATCTAAATGATAAAAAAAAGGAGTCATATCTCGTGTTTTTATAACAAAGACACTTCATTATATATTTTGATACCTATATTGACTCCAAAGAAAACGAAATTTTTCATAGGTTATGCTCTTTCGTTCATTTTGTTTTCTGTTTCACTATTTTTTGTTTTGGTCAGTGTGACGATATTCAAGAACTTAACCAGATTGTGAACATTTTTATTTTTAGTGAAATATTAATAAATATCACTTTCATATAGAAAATATTAAAAAAAATTTGGATAAAATATTTCAAGATTTTTATTATCGAAAGTTAATTTTTATGCTAAGTAACTATAGTATTCGGAATCAGCATGACAAAAAAATACTCTGAAAACTTTATTTATTTTGGTAAACGGTTCTCTCTTCGAAATTTTAGATGCAAGTAACTGGAGCAAAACAATTCTACGCATAAAAAGCTAAGGAATAAGCGCTAGTTTTAGCTAAAACTAACAATGTTGAAGATCTAATTTAGTCCTTTCGCATTCTGATACTAACTAGAACAAACGATATCCGAGTTCATGGCATGATCTAAGATAGAATTGACGTCCAAGTTTAGACCTCTGCAGGTGTAGAATGTCGTCAAATTGAAGAAGATACTAGATAGATGTTTTATATCATAATGTATAGGTTGATTAAATAATCAGTTTAAAGACAAGAACAATAATCTATGATACACACTAGTGTACGGATCAAATAAACCAAGCTCGAACGCATAATCTATAGGTCATCACTTACATTTCGGATGTTATATCTAAAGAGTTTTCAATAGACTTTTTTTGTGATCAAATTGATCTTCATGAATTTCTATGATTATCTTATCTCTTTTTTTTTCTCTCATCATCTTCATGATATGCTGAAAAATCAAATTCCATTATTTATTTCCTGATGTTTACAGTAATTGAAATGAACCATAGTTTGATTGAGATTGTTAGATAGTATTATTTGATAAATGCTACTCAAGTGTTATTCAATACCTCAAACTTGCTAATTTAGTTTTTAATAAATAGAATCTCTAGTTACAAATGAATGCTGTACGCCATGTATATATATACATATTTGTCTGTTGTTGTTGAAGAGTTATGATATTCTTGTATCTCCTAAATGCAAGGATGGGTACTGCCATCTAAATAAATTATTGATGATTGACTCGATAACATAAGTTGTTTTTTCATACTTGTCGATCAAAAGGTGGGTGTGAGTGGGGGGTATGATGAGTATGCTATGCTATACAATGTTTTCCACTTTATAATAATTCTTCAATTGATCTATCGGAATTCAAATTTTCGTTTTAAAATTTATACTAAATTTTTTTTTTAATTGGTCATGCTCTTAAATGAGTGATTGTTAGAAAACGGCGTCAGCTTCATATAATTTGCATAGTTTGGTTTAGTATGAAGACTAAAACGGCAAAAGTTGGACAATTCAAAGAAAAATAAATGAGCAATTCAATTTGATTCAAATCTATTTTATAAATCTTGAGCTTTGCTTTTTTTTCCAAGTGGATGCATAAATCTTGTAAAATTTGAACCAATTATAATGATCAATGTTGAATCAAAGTATTCAGTTTTCCTACATTATTAATAGATTACTTTTATTTTTTTTTCCTTTATTTACTACATGACTTCGTAAATATTCAGTAACGAAGTTAGAATTTTGATGAATGAGAGGGTCATAGTCCTAAAGCGTGTTATCAAGTCCAAATCAAAGGTTGTATCGATTTATTTTTGGACGTTTTTTTTTCTTGCAAAGAACAGTTCGGAAGAAAGGAACGATAGATTGTTCTCAATGCTCTTTTTCTAAATGCGCCATTGTAAACATTGCAATAATAAATAATAACAAAGTATCATCTACTAGAAGAAAAAAAACATCAGCGAATGATAATAATTTACGAAATAGCTTTATATGCCGTTACTAGATGTCTTCTGATATTTCAATAAAGTGCCAGCAGAGAGAAGTGTACATTTGTTTGGAATGTTATAAAACATGGACTTTTTATTTGATTGGTTCGTAATTTCTATCTAAAGATAACCTGTTGCTTTTGATTCAAAATTTACTTTTTGTCGGTTATCAAAATAGAACATAATGAAATATATTATCAAATAGAAATAGTAAAAATCTTTATGTATTTATTTATAATTTTTTTTGTAAAACATAATTAAAAAGTCGCTATGCTACCTTCTCATCAAAACTTGCTTACACCCCAAAATCTTGATGATCGATTATTAGTTGCTATTATTCGACGTGATCTTACAACAGTTCGATATATTCTTGAATCAAATAGATATCGTTCAACAATAGATCAAAGTCTTTTTTTTCGTTCATATCGAGATGATTTTAATCATCCTATAACACCATTAGGTATAATTAAATCTACTAGAAACTTTTTATCAATTGATTATTCTAGCTGCTGCTTGTCATTTTGGTTCATATGAAATAGTTGATGTATTAATAAATTATTTTCATGCTAATATTAATAAACAACATTTACCCGGTTGTAAAACACCACTTCATTATGCTGTATTAGCAAAATCAAATCGTTTTGATACTGTTCACTTTCTTCTTCAACATGGTAAAAAATAACAAGAAAAATTCTATTTTAATACTAATCTATTTATTTATTTAAAATAGGTGCAAATGTTGATGTGCAAGATCGTCATGGTACAACAGCTCTAATGTTAGCTGTACTTCATTCTTATGATGATATAGTACATTTATTACTTGAACATGCCGGTGCAAATGTACGCATTTATAATCAATATCATTTAACAGCATTTGACTTTGTTAAATATAATGTTTCAATTATAAATGATCTTATACGTTATGGTGCTATATCATTTAAGATAAATGATAAAAAGTTATTTCAATGGTTAATTGTAAATAAACATATGCGTTTAGCTCGTTTATTAATTGAAGCCGGTTATACGCCATCAATAACATTATTTCAACAACGAATACGTTCATTAAAAAGTTTATGCCGTTTAAAAATACGTTTTCAAATTTCAGGTAGTCATTTTCGACAATCGATTGAAACACTTCCGGTGACAAATAAACAATTAATTCAATATATTTTACTTGATGATATATAAACTTGAATTTTTTTTTATTTTACTGTATTTTTTTTTTTTTTGTGCAATTATAATTTTTCTAGATATGTAGTTATTCATATTTTGGATAAATGTTAGTGTGAAATCAAGAATATAAATAAGAGTTATTTTTTTTAATAATAAAATGATTGGCGTGACAAAAATGATTTCTTTTTAATTTTATTCTAAGTATTTCATTCACTCAGAATCAAAAAAAAAAAAAAACAATTTTGTAATTTATAACTTCTTTGATAGACCAAAGTTTCTAATGTTGAATACATTTTAGTTAATTGATTTCATGATGAGATTTAAACATATTACATTATTTTTTTTTTCAAGCCTCATACTGAAGAAACTAATAGAAAAACTTAGATGTTTAAAATACTTCAAGTTTGTCTATTTACTTTTGGTACTGACAAATACGAATATCATATATCACTAAATATAAAAAGAAAATACAACATTTGAATACAAGAAAACCACAGAATAGAATGAAGGTATAAGTGTATGTGAAGCTTCATAGCTATACACTTAGAAAAGAGTCTTTTGTTTTTATGTTTCTGTATGTTCCAGATTTTTCCACTAGTTTTGCCCTTTACCCCCCATAACGGTTCCTGAAGAATTAATAATAAAACAACAATAGAAAAAAGAGTATTTTCCTCTTCAGTAGGCTACTAATATAAGCAAATCGACCAGATGTGCTTTCCTCTATGCATGGCAATTTAGCGATCCCAGTTACCATTGAAATGTAGCGATGTGAGAATTTTTTTTCTAATCTTTTTCAAGTAGCTTGTTGATTTCACAAAAATACAACATATTTTTTTTTTAATTCAACAATACGAATAAAGAACAACGCATAAAAAGATTTTCTGGTTTTCTCTATAACACGCGCGTTAAAAGAACATTCTATGTACATAATATCTGTTTTTTTCTAGAACTAAGTAACTTATCGAGTAAAGGATATCATTATCTATTCATTATTCTTTAACTTCGAATACGATAAGATTGACAAGAATTAGGGTGTGGATATGGGTATGATTCGGGCCTCGTCTTTTCCGACAGCAATATCCACACCCATCCATATATGTACATCAAACATTAGTATAACAACAAAGAACGCTCGTATTTATAAATAGCAGATATGTCTCCTTATATATACATAAGTATTAAGAAGTATTCCGCTTAGAAAAGAATTTCTAAATCTTTTTTTCATGGTATTACCCTCCAATAGCAATTACAATTGCCATTTTATATCATACAATCTATTGTTTAACTAATTCGTGTAAAAAATTTTAAATACATTTTATTCAATAGCAATTAATTTCGTCGATATTTTTCGCATTGTTTATCATCAAAAGAAGTATTTCTAGTACGTAAAAAAAAAAATTTTAAAAGTAGAGATCATTTTTTCTAATAGTCGCATATTGAATTCTCTACATATAATGTAAAGAGTTTTATAACATCACGTGTTCTGCAGTTTTTGCAATGTTTCTAAAGAAAAAAAAAAAAGGTAATTTCAGCCGACAATGTAGAGTAAAGGGATAAATGGTAGAAACCTGGCAAAGGTATCAATGTATAGGCAAAAATTAGTTCTACAAGTTAACAGAGAAGAATTTTTCGATTCTCTCTTTTATTTATTTATTTAAAACTAATTGCTTTCGAGCTATACCCGCTGATTTTTTCGTATTTAATGAGAAGAACTTTCAAAAAAACAAATAAATGTATGAAAAAACAGATCTCTGTTAAGTTGTAGCACTATGTCTTCACTACATTTGAAAACTAATTTGAACTGTTTCTTATTTGAAATATTGAAGAAATTACAAGCGTACAAATACCTATATTTTGACCTAAAATCTTAAGATAACTTATCATAGACCCATTGTATCTAGTTAAATCTTTTTACTGCGCAATATCTAACTCAATATACACCTCTAAATAATATCATTATGCTTGGATGGCGAGAAAGGCGAAGTTTTTTTTGAGGGGCATACCCATAAGTATCTACTCGACAGGAATATTTATTATATTGTTGAGTCATGAATATGAGTCAAATATGATGATATTAAAATAAAAAACAGAGAAGGAAAAAGAAGCATAAATAAGAAGAATCATTGTATTGTAGGTTTTCTCCAACTTATTAACGTTGTCATAAAACACATAAAGGTATGAAATACACCTACTTAAGTGTCAATTACTTCCGCTCCAGCTCATTTCGATGTTTTTTTCTTTCTTTTATAAAGCTATACTCAGTATATTTTGATTATTGATCGACGTTACGATGATAAGAAAAGCTACTCGACTGTTATCAACAAGATCAGTTGTTGAGAAATTATTTAATGTTGTACAATCATCATCATATGATGAAAGGCAAACGAAACTAGATCATTTTATTGATACTTATGCACAACTAAGAAAAGCAATTTATCCCAATCTTGTTAATGATGTTATACAACGTTGGGCTACTGAACAACCAAAACGAGAAGCATTATGGATGTGCGAAAATAAAAATAATGAAAGTCAAAAATTAACATTTGATGATGTATATAAACAATCATGTCGTTTGGCTAATGTACTTACTAATAAAGACTTTGATTTAACACCAGGTCAAACTGTATGTTATTAAATTCACATTTATATATATCTAAAAAAAGTATTCTTTTTTTAAATAGGTACTTGCTATTTTACCTAATACTGCTAAAGAACGAATTTTATTATTATTAGCATGTATTCAAACTGGTTTAATCTTTTGTCCATATGATCCAAAAGATTTAACTAATCAAGGAATTTCTCAAAGAATTCAAAAATTAGTTGTTGATTGTGTCATTACTGATGAAGATAATTTAGAAATAGTAAGATGCTATACCGGTACCCCATTACGGCCATTAAAAAAAGGTTTTTTTATGCCGTGCTCAAAATCTAAATTGTCACCAGTTAGTTGGACTCATTTAACGCAACATGTTAATAATGCTGAAAGTAGATATACAAAATTTGTGAATATTAATCAGAATACACCTGTTATACGTTTATTATCAAATAACAATAATGTTATTGAATATTCTCAAGAAGCTTTAAATTTTCGTTTAATATTAACAGCGTAAGATATTTCTTTTTTTTTCTTTTTTAAATATATAATATTTTATTAAATTAAAAATTAATCTTTAGTCTTTGGTTAAATAGCAATAAAACACCTCGTTTAATATGGATGAAAAATCAAAATGAAATAATGTCAATGGCTTCTTGGTTATTTGGTTCATCCATATTTTATAAAGATATTGAAAATTTAAAAACAATGATTCAAACATTTGAAAATTATCCTATTGATGCTTTTTGTTCAACATTAACTAATTATCAAATGCTTGATAATGAACATGAACAACAACGAGAGATAAAAACTAATCTTCAACAATTATTTTCTTCTGAATCAATTAATTCTAAAATTAAATCTCGTTGGCATTCATTGACAAATCTTAATATTCGTGATGGTAGATTTATTAATAAATTTTTTTTTTTGTAAAAATTTTTATTTTTTGTTTAAATTTAGATTATGCTGATTTTTATAATAAACCCATATTAAACACTTTTTCAACTAATATGCGACAATCATCATATCCTGTTAATAAAGTGTAAATGATTTTGTTGATGTTTTTCTTTTGATTATTCTATAATCATATATTCTTCTATTTTATTTAGATCATATCTGTTAATAAATTCCTCAATGAACCCAAATACATTAAACAAATTTGTTAATTAAATATCGAATAAGTCAGCATCGGATCTAAAGACAATCTAATGAATTTGTTTATAATCAACAGTCAAATGAACATGATCTCGAGCTCAATTTTTTATTTTTTATTTTTTGCATGACATACAAATTATTGTTTATTCTTGTATTTTGAATTTTTTTTCAATAAAAATGCTTTCGGCATTTTCTAATAAATTCAAAGAACACATTTAATTGATGTTGATAAAAATTTTATTTTACTTACAGGTGTATTATTATTTAAAATTTCTTTACAACGACGTATTGCAGCTTTATGAAGCCATTCATGTAGATATTTATTTTCAATTAGATCACTAATTGATTGTCGTTCACTAATTAAATATTTATAAATATATAGAGAGTTACGATACATGCAAACATACCCTGTAATTCGTCCATGAATCATATCTGATATTGATTTATTTTTATTACATGTCCTGTAACATGGATTCATATTTATTTGATGATTACTCATTGTTTTCCTGACAGAAATAAATTATTTTTGATGCATATGCAATGACTCTCATAATTAATCATAAACATTTTTTTTCGATTTTTTCCCTGATAATATAACTTGCGCTAGAGTGCTGCAGGGTAAAACTTTTTCTCACCTTATACTTTATCCTACAGCGATTGGCCCAACATACACTAAAATGTCCAGATATATGTCAACATGAAATTTTCTTCATTATGTTTTTCAGTATATTTTATTGATTTCTAATGATAATTAAATATAAAATCATCACATATTTCAAAAAGTCTTATAAAAATAAAATGTCATTCACAATATCGTCGCTCACATCTATTTTCTCTTTTTCATAACTTTTTCACTTGCACTGAAAATATGTTCACTTACGACTGAGTTTGCCAGAACTCACAATAGCCTTTTTCCAATACATTACGTCGTGGGTAGTTCAAATAAACCAGAAAGATGTCAGGAGTGTTTGTCATCATTCTACCCTATGCTAAACTTTACTTAATCGAACTCTACTCTGAAAAACTTGAACTTGCATAAAATATTCTAAGTGTGATTTAAATAGACAATATTGTTTCCAAAAAGGATTTGATGAAAATAAACTCTTCATCGTATTCTTAAATCTAAGATCTTTAGAAAACCCTTCATCCAGTTTTTCAGAACATTGAAATTCAAATATAAAACTTCTATTGATGACACAGGACAACAGAGCAACTAATTCTCTAGAAAAGGATACGGCTTAAAGAAGTTGTCTGTTTTTATACAATGATGAAAGAAACGATGCTCTATTTTTCTATGCTATTTGATCAATTTTCAACTAATATCATAATCATAGAATTTCAATAAGAACTGTTTTTGTATAAAACTTGAACCTGCTTAAAAAAAATAATGACCGTAGGAATTTTTACAATAACTCAAGAACGGGAAGAGTTAGAGAGCTGCAATTTTCATCATTCGAAAAAAAAAGAGAGGAGTATGCATCGAATCACATCTTATATATCGAACGAGGAAAACCGCAGCTCTCTAGCTCTTTTCACTCTTGATTTATTGTAAAAATACCCACGGTCTTTATTTTTTTTGAAACAGGCTCAAAACAGTTCTTATCGAAATTCTATCGTTATGATATTAGTTGAAAATTGATCAAATAGCATAGAAAAATAGAGCATCGTTTCTTTCATCATTGTATAAAAACAGACAACTTCTTTAAGATGACTATTCGAAAATAAGGTATCTTCAACAGAACTTTTGAATTGACCTAAGCAGTTTTTTTCACCATTTTCTAAGAGAAGTCTAGAATTTTCTTAAAATTTATTTAACTCAATCAAAAAATGTCATGAAGAGCTCGAAGACGTCTCATTTTATAGAGAATTAATTGGTCTATTGCTCTATGTAACCAAAAAACTAAATTATTATTTCCAGATTCTTCATACGGAAAAGCTAGATTTTAGGAGTAATGTAAAGCTTTATTTCCTCCTACAATTTCTTCTATTCAACTCACTATTTGGATTCTTTTTTGTGAGTTCTTATTATGGAAAAAATCGAAATCAAATCTGTACGATGAATTCTTACAGTCATTGTAAAAAGAAAACTAATCTACCGATATTGATGTATATCCTGTACTTTAGTAAGACCTAATCGGACAGTGGTTTTGTTTATTTCAATAAAATTAGGAACGATAATTTGTTTTGATGTGTTTATCGGTATGTCATTGTATTGTAGAGCTAATAGAAAAATCAATTAGAAATCAATCAAAAATCGATCGAATATTTGCCTGCAGCTACACCAGTAATACCATTCTGTTTTGGATGTTTGAGACCATAAACAAAATTGTCAGGAGGCAAATAAAAACCTCGTTTACGTATTTTGCATATATCGTTATCATCCTTTGAAATTTTTCAATTAAGAAATAAAATTGAAGATAAATACTGACCCAAATAGGATTTTCATTGTTGAGCAATGCTTGACAGAATGTTCGTTCATTTGATGTTGGCTTTGTATGTTGACGACAAAATATAGCCATAATAAAGAATTATCGAGCAATTTCTACTTGGCGCTCTATTTCTCGTGACTCAATTCATAACATTCAAACATTTGAAATTTAATAACTGAAAAAAACCAAAAAAAAACCTAGAGTACTTGTTTACATCCTTAGATGGTTGTAAATATTTAATATTTCGACTATTTTATCTCTTCTTTTTATCGACATAATTTTATAAAAATTAATATGAACAAAAAAATGAATAAAATTTTTTGCCAACTCTCATATATATATCGCGCGCGTATTTTGTATTTCACATTTACTTATACTTATTACTATACATTATTAGCAACTAAATATAAATTGATTACCATTCAATGCTTTCAATTTAATGATCAATAGTTAGTTATTAAGTTTAATTTAGAACTTAAACCTAATATAATAAGTAAATATTAATATCACTTGTAATGAATACAATTTAATGTTCAACTCTTAGCAAACTATTGACATGATATTCATTGAAGGACAATAAATAAACAGATATTATTAGAATAGTATTAATAATAAAATATTTATTCATGGAAAAAGTTCTCTTTAATAAATGTAATGCTTATAAATCTCTTCCAAATATTTTATATTCATCAAAATCAAATCAAATCATACAAATACATAGAAGTAAAAGTTTACCATCATGTTTAAAATTTCTATATGAAAAATATCAATATAATAAAAAATTATCAATATTAAAACGAATAAATATTAAAAAAAATTCAATTGAAAGAAATAATTATCATCCAACTATTGGTGAATTACTTGGTGATGATGATTTATTTCATTACTATTATCATAAACAATATAATACATCAAGATTTAAACGACAACGACATCATTATCGATCATATTACCGTTCGTCTCATATTCATCATCATTATCGAAAACATCATCATAAAATAAAAGAATTTCAATATCAATCATCACGATTATCATGTTCATGTAATAAATCAACATCAGAGATAAAAAATCAAATTTATCTTTATCCAACAACAACATATAATTATACACCAATACCTACTTATTGTTATTATTATTATTATTCAAATATGTCTTCTTATTATCCATATTTCATATCGGATTGTTATAAAATTTTCTATCAACAAGAACGATATTATGAAAATATCAATATTTAAATATGATGATCAATGAAATAAAAGAAAATAATTATTCGAATTATTATTATTTTCATAAGACAAAAAAAAAAAAAAAATCAAAATCATACTTCTATTTAACATAGTAATAAACTGATATAAATAATTTATGATTGAAGAATTTATTTTATATTCGATTTATTCTCTTAAAAAGAGAGTTTTCTTTTTTGTTTTTTTTGTTAATGTTATAAACGATTTTTTTGTTGTTCACTTTCAAGCATAATTAAACAACATAAATGAGGAATAAAATTTGCATAATAACAAAATGGTTTTTGTTGTATATCAATTGGTATTTGTGATGATTTCAATAATTTATATATTGTTAAAAAAGCTGTTATACCAATTTGTTCTTCAACATATTGACGAATATGATCAATTTTTGCTCGACGATCAGATTGATTTCTACGAGCAGCATCAAATAATAATTGTAAAGGTGCAAGAGATTCTGTTGATAGAGTTATTCTATTGATTGATTCTAATAAACTTATAGTATCATCATAAGAATTTCGTTGTTTTGTTAAAGGAAAACTTAAATAAAGAGAATAAAAGCAAAAAAAACAAAAAAAAAGGTTTTTTTTTTCTTCAAATCTTCTAATTACACTTACTGATGATACGTATATTCATTATTATTTATTAAATCTTTTGATCTTATTTTCTCTTTATTACAGTTTTCTTCAATTGTTGGTATATAAATTCCTCCGTGTTGTTGATACTTTCGCATGAATTCATCAAGTTGCATGTCTTTTTCTCGATATTTGTTAGAATGTATTGACGTTGTTTGAGATTGTCCCGTAGAACGCTTTGCTTTTCTTTCATCGTCATTATCACTTGAAGATGATGCTGATGAAGAGATTGTATCATTGTTGACAAACGATCTATAATAATTTTTCTTTGATTTATTTCTAATACGTTGTTGTTCATGATCGGATGTGTGTGGTGATGATAATATTGCATCATCAGGTGGAATATTTCCTATCAATTGACTATCAATTTTATATTGACATAAATTTTCATTTGATTTCATAGTCGATTTTGTTAAGAATGTTTCAATAGAAGATAACTGTGAATTATCCATAACGGATTGATTATTGTTAATCATACATATGTTATCATTTGTATTAGTTATGCTCTGATCAATGTTATTTTTATCTATTTCATCCGTTGATGATAGAATAACATTTGAATAATAGTTATTTTCGAAATTATTTGATGAATCAAGAAATTTTGGTGATGGTGATTTTTTTAATATACTCTTTGGTTGTGTTTGAACGAATAGATGATGATATGTATCATTAGTTGATGACATAAGCTTAATTCTTAAGAATAAGATAACTAACCTTGCATAGATATAAGCGAACAATGAATGATACAACTGTCGTTGCTTTTTTTTTCTCTCCTTCTCTCTATATCTTTCTTCCTTTCTCATCTATACTGAGAAAAAAAAGAAAGATAATCAATTATCTTATATATACATCAGAACAAACAAATCTTGTATATTTCCTTTCTTTCGCTTTTAACCTTGTAAAGATTTTCTACTGATTTCCTTTTTTTTGCTGTTGCTATTAATTTATTAAAATAGGAGGTTCATTCATATTATATAATTTAAAATGCCATCTATTTTCTGTCCATTCTAATGGATTAATTAATGGATTACTAAGAGTTTTTTCAATAAAAAGACCAGTTTGATTACGACGAATAAGAATTACTGTCGATGTTCTACGAATAAATAAGAGATAAAAGGAGAAAAAAAAAATAGATTTTTTTAAACCTTGTTCCATAAGTTGGCGAGTCATCTGTAGTGCGTACATTAATTGATGATATTTGATGACGATTCGATATTGAATAATGAGAATAAATAGTAGCAATATTAGGATCATCAGGAAAACTGAATATCATAAAAAAAAAAAAAAGAGAAAATCATTTTCTTATTACAAACGAACGAAATGTATCATAACTCGAGAACATAGGAAATATTTGTCTCAAATTAAAAGCGTTACTAGTAAATTAACAAATCTAAAATATGAACTGCTTCTGACGTATACGGATGAAGATATTTAAATTTTGAGGTATTTTGCATTGTGTGTTATGTATCAATAATTCAAAATTTTGATAGGATTTATTTTTTGAATTTTATCATAGTTGGCAAGAACTCGTAGAATGATATAAGAAAAATATTTTAAGAAAAAAAAAAGTCTATGATACTATTTTTTAAATATAAGCCGAAATAGATTTGAAAATTCTGACTTTGGCAAAAAAATTTCTTTTTCTTATGTACCTCGAAGAACTCTATTTAACTATTGTCAAAAAAAGAGTTGCTGAAATTTTGAATTGTTGGCATATAACGTCCACTATAAACACCTTAACAATTTGGATATTCTAAGCAGTTCATATTTTAACTTTCTTCGTTAGATGATGAAACTATTTAATTTAATCTAAACAATATAGATCATTTTATAGTTAATGAAAAACCTACATTTTATTATCATTTAATAAATCAAATGTTTGATGAATTAATGCTTTTTCATCTGTAATTGGTTTTGTATAATTATCTGTTAAATTTGCAAGAAATGTTTTAAATAATTGACAACCATAACGAGTCTTTTCAAATGCATATTGATCACCATATATATGATTGCTAAAACCGAAAACAGCTAATATGAAATAAATAAATAAATAAATAAACAAATTATTTGATTTAATTAAGAAGACATATAAGATCGACTTACATGTATTGATTTCAATTGCTGATGAATCTGGTGATACATTATTTATATATTTAGCTCGCCATTTTCTATTAATGTAAAATAAACCATATGGTGAAGGGGAAATAGGAAAACTTAATATTGACGTTTCTGTTATTTTTCCTCTTAATAGAACCTGCAGAAACTTGAAAACATTGAGTTGCATTGTTTTCGAATACGAGGTTCAACATTTCTCTAGGACTTCTGCTTTAGAAGTTATGAATCGACTTTTTAGAAAGACGAAAATGAAATTCGGATGAAAAAAAATTGACGTTGTCTGAAGTAATAAACTCCTTTACTGCATACGTAATATTACTGATTTTTTCGCATAGAATAAAAGACGACATTGTTTTCTTCATAGGGATATAAGAATCGAGCGTTTCAGAACAATGACTCAGCCATGACCAAGCTCATTTTTGTAAGTCTGTGTTTTCATAGACATGTAGAAAATTAACGCGATATATGTTATCAAAATCCTGACTGCTGACAAATACCTTTCATCAGATTGATCATTAATGAACTACTTTATAGAGAAAAATTTTGCCTCAATATACAGATATTGAAAAAATCGGCTCATAATTCTCAAACTAAAGGTTGTACAACAATTTTGAAGCTATACTTCGAAAGAATAGAGACTTCTGATTCTAATCCGATATTTTAAAATTTCTGCACATTCTTTTAAAGAGGCTAAAGAATAAGCCAATATTTTAGTAAATAACTTTTCAATAATTTATTTATAATTGTTTCAAATTAATTTTATTTGAAATTCAAAAGAAAAGAAGTTCATTTCGACTCACTTAGACTCTGATTGTTGTTCGAGTCCAAGAAAATTAAAACCTGTATAATTTGTTTTAGTTTTTTGTAATTCATCCATATATGTATCAAGATTAATCTCTGGATTATTTACATAATTGGATACAATAAAACCTCGACTCTGAGCATTGATATTTTTTTCTTCTAATAAATGTGAAGATAAATTTAATAAAATACCAATTCTACTTTGAACAGTATTTAAACATAACCAAGTACCACCTTCACGTAATGGTGTTACATCTTGTCCTTTAGAGAAATAATAAATAATATTATTTTACTCTTATTATTTTTTTTCTTGTCGAATTCTAAAACAAAAACTATCAAAATCGAACCTCCAAGTGCATATTTTGTATCTTTCCAAACATGAGCTTGTTTAGCTGGTCGTTGAAAATCTTCATCACGATTTGATAATAATATTAAATCATATCCGATATCAATATTATCGTTTTGTAAATAACAGAAAAGAATACACATGATCTCAAAATACACACAAAGTTTTATAAGAAAAGAAGATAACTGTTAAGTCGATAAATTCTTAGTGTGTGTATCTTTTGAAACACACACACATGAAGAATAAAAAGAAAAAAAATATCTTCACTTGTACAAAGAAGACAAAAAAAAAACGAACTGTACACATGAGAAACAGTGTTATCAACTTGTTTGAAAAAAAAAAAATGAAAGACGACTAATCATCCTTAATATAAATAGTTGAACAAATGACAAAGATAAAGATAGAAGAAAAAAAAAAAGATGAATATGTTTATACAGATCGTTTGTTTGTTTTGTATTTTATCATGAATGATTTCTAGTTGATGATGTTCCACTATAATCGATTCCACGACATGTCGATGAAAATGTATTTATATGATCTTTAAAATTTGCACGACTCGTACGTTCACTAAAACGAAAAACAACAAACAGAAACATTTTCATTTTCAAATAAAAATTCAATATAGGAAAGATATATGTACGATGTTAATGCTTTGATTAATGCTTCACGATGATGACGTTTTGGAGATGGTGTAGGAAAATTTGGATCATTTAAACATTGTTGAACCCAATTTGATGTACAATCAATGTATAATTTCGATAGTGTAAATAATGGTAATGATAATGTATCAACTAAATGACGTGGACTTGCTCCACCAATACACTAAAATTTAAATATGTTTGTTTTGTTTTTTTTTATATTTATTTATATAATAAAAGATATAAAATCAAATTGTACTGATTTCGTTTTTAATGAGGAAAAAATTCTTTCGAAAAATTTCAGTATCATCGCTTTATTTATTGACCTTTTTTTTGTAGTATACTACTTTTCCTTCTACTGTCTACGTGTTAATGTGTTACGCGTTGCTGTTTATAATATAACTAAGTATTTTGTATATAGACAGTTGACCTTATCAACAAGTTTTTCTATAAATAATATTATTATTTTGAATGTCCGGATAATTCCTAGCAGGTATATGAATGAGAATCTTTGGTATACTCTCATCTATATAGTGATACTCTTATTTACATATAAAGGTTTTTTTTTGATTTTTAGTATTCATCGAAAAATTCTTTTTGATTTTTTTGATAAACATATAGAAATTTTTTAATCACATTATAATAAGAACTTATTCTTTTGTTCTTAGATGTTATATGATTCACAAGAATTAAGTTTTTTCGATTAATTTTCAATACTTCAGATTGACGAATAACAAAATTTTCTGTATTAACCTTCATATTACTACCTTGGATCTATGCGGAGATACATAACATGAGATCAAATGTTGTCCTTTTAGATGTATTTACCCTGCATGGTTGAGAATGGAAAATAATATGAGGAAAAAAAAAGATTGAATATGTAGACAATTCAAATCGATTGTTTTTCTATTTATTTTTTGCATAATCAAGATTACTTCATAGTGTTTACCAGAGATGGACAAAATCGCATCGCGCCTCCCCGCGCCACTGCTCGCGCCTAGGCGCTACCCACATCTCTCTTTCTCTTTGCTCTACCAATCAGTTTCTCAAACTCCACCGAATACCGGGATGCTCTAAGCATGCGCTCATCGAAGCTCAGACTAGTGTAGCGTAGGCGTGAGCAACGGCGCGGGAAAGCGCGGGGAGGCGCGGTGTGACTTTGTCCATCTCTGGTGTTTACAACTGAATAATAATTGTTTACTGTTACTATTTTAATATACTCGAATTCGTATAGATCTGAGATGAGAATTTGATTTCTATTCTATAAGTAATGATATGAAGGCTCATAAAATATTCTTTGATCTAGATTTTAATTGTTTTACCACTGTAATCGGATAATGTCAAGGTAAATATGTTAATATTTTTAATAATATAAATTATAATGAAATTTTGAAAATCTAACCTTAAGAAGAATCTGAACTATTTCGAGACCATTTTGTTTTAGAAGATCAGCAGCTCGTTGATTTGATTTTGTATATTCAATATAATTAGACTTTAAAAAAAGAAAGATTAATAATATTTAAATTTTTCTCATTTATCTATTTACTGTAAACATTGTAACACTTCTTAATGTTGCTTGTTCATGTAATTGAAGACCATTTTTTACTTTAAATATTTAAATATATATATAATTAATTTTTATTAAATATTAAACAACATACCAAATTGAAAAAGTAAAACAAATGCTTCATTAGGACAATGATGTACAACAGTTGGTAATTTTTTAATAATCTAAATGATAATAAAGTATAAAAAATCAAAATTAAAAATAGTTTATTTTACTTGAATAAGAAAATTAGAAAAATCTTCTACAATATCAACATGATCTTTTAACCATTGTATATCTAAAATTAATATTCAAAGAAAGAACAAAACATAAATAAAGAAAACAAATTCAAACCTCCTTTAAAAAGACAACCAAATCTTTGAAGAACAGCAATAAATAAATTAAACATTTGTTTATCTGTATCTTGTGAAAAAAGTAGAAGTGTCTAAAAATTAAAATATTCATAGCATTATTATTTTTTTTTTTTCTTTTTATTCAATAAATTATATTAACATACATTTCTAACAAAATTTAAAAATTGTGCATGTAATATATTTGGTCCAATACTTTGTGCAAGTTCTAAAAGAGGTTTTAATATTGGACTGATGGATTCTCTTAATGTTGTTACTGTTCGTGAAAGAATTTCACATAATTTCTTTGAAAATTAAAAAAAAAAAATATTTCAATTAATAATTACAAAAGAAAAATTTGTTTTATTTTTTTCATCTTACTTCTGTTACTTCGTTATCATCAGCATATTGTTTAAGAATCAAATGAAGAATTGGAGTAAGATCACGTAGAACACAACATAGCTGTACGAAATATAAAAGATAAAAATTTTAATTATATAAATTAACAATTAAATTATTTTTGAGATAAGTCACATTTAGAATTTATTAGATCTAAAAACTTTTGAATTTGAACGAATCCGGAATGAATTCGACAAATTTGGTTCGTATCTTATTAGAATATGCTTTTTGAGTTATGACTAAATGAAAATTTTGCACAAACAAAATCCTTAACAAGACAAGGTCATTGTGAAAAGATTAGATTTTCTTTCTATATATTCTGACATTAAAATAGGAATTACTGAAAAATTGAACACTTTCATAATGATGTTGTCTATTTCGAAATTTTATTTATATAAAATTTTAACTTCAAAGTTGATATTAAAGATAATCTCACGAAAGAAAAGACCATTTTAATGAAGAACTAATTGAAATGGCCATGAAAGACCATTCAAAAAAATCCATGGGTACGAGTCGTTTTGGGAATTTTTCTAATCTTACAAGGACATATCTAACGAGATAAGTCCTATCTCAAGAATAATTTACCACTTGGCAAGGTTCCGTCAATAGTGTTTATGTATCCTATGAGATTCGTGTCTGCTTTTTTTTTTACCTAATCAATCATCATTAAGAGAGACAGAACATATTCAGGAATGTTTTTGAAATCTAACTGAATATAATCAGGTTTTTATTTGTAGAGACATTTCAGAACAAAATTTTGATGATTTAATAACAGTAAGAATGTGAAACTATTTATAAAAAAAATTATGCATAATAGTCAAAAAAAAAACAGAAGACAACATATTGATTTCATTTACTAGAAATATTGTTAAACGTTTTTATGTCTACAAAAAAAAAGACCTTGATATTGATCGTACAAATGTTTTGTAGCCAAGCACTCTGTTACTTTAACTATGAATATTTTAAAACGGCCTGTATAGCAGGTAGAGCCCGCCGGATTGATTTTGGAGTCAATTCAATAGATCATACTTTAAAGGTAACAGCTATTTATAACTAGAGTATTAAAAAAACATTGTCAAAATTGCCTGAGGAATATATAAGGTATGATAATAATAGAATTCAGAACTTTGATTAGAGTCTCGAGAGAAGTTCTCAAATTGATAAATCACTATTGAGTCAAAACTATGTGCATTATTTAGACCCAAATGAGCTATGAATACTTTGAAAAAAAAGTTTGAACTCTTAGATTATTGCTTTGGAGATACTGCACATTTACAGTATGTTTTAAATGAATGCCGTAGTATTAGAAAAACTGATTTTCGAATTTCGACTTAAAACTTTACACAAATACAAATTTTAACGACAATAGTTTTAGATCTTTTGATTTGCTACTATCTTCAAATAAGAGAATATAAAATCTGTTGGTTTTTGTGAATGAAAATCATAAATATTTTTCAGTATATTTATTATTCACTTGGATCTACATAATGCACAGAGTCTTGACTCAAAAGCGATTTATTGATTGGAGGACGTCGTTCGTCAAACTTAAAAAGTTCGTTGAAATTAGGAATACACTCCGAATCCGGAACCGTAAAAAGTTTGATCAATCGATTCTGAGTTTAAAAATATTGAGCCCGGACAAGCTCAAATTATAGACACATATATTGTCAATTTCTAATTTCAAGTTAGTAATTATTCTTCAAAAAAAAAACAAACAAACATTCAATGTCATACCACTTCAGGTATTTCACTAATATTTTCAGTTGTTTTTTGTTGTTGTTCATTTTCATCACCATCACTTTGATCACCACAATAACCAATTGTAGTAATAAGAACAGATATAAAACTTAATGTTGTACAAATATTTTGTTTTCGTAATATTGTATTCTAGAAAATTTTTTTTTTAATAGAATTTGTTCTTTTTTTTTTTATTGTTTGTATGTAAATCAATTTCTACCTGATCAAGATTTGTTTCAGATAAAAAAGCAAGTAATTTATTAACTTCCGGTGCAAGTAAAATATTCAAATGATCAATAACAATTTTTGATGGATATGCTGATAGAATATAACCAATTATTGCTACACAACGAATACGATCATTTGGTTGAACATGAACATTCTCAAGAACATTCTTTTAAAAACAAAAAAAACAAACGATTATTTTATTTTAAAAAATTAATTTTTGTTTTTACTTTAATTATTGGAAAGAT